TGCTGAACCAGTTTTTGATTCTGGAACTGCAGAACTGTGGCATCAACCTGAAAAAGATGAAAAAAGATCTTTCAATGTATCTCCATAGACATAGATCAACAACGGAAAGAAAGGAGATAAAACAAGAAGACACAAACATCAAACTCGAAGATGGGTCGTGCAATTTTTCAACATTCTATGACAACAATGACAAAGCCACACGCATTTCACACAATGTAGGTATGCAAAATTCCCAAGTCCAAGTAAAAAATCATACTGAATCGCTCGGAGGGGCGAATCCAATCAAGGGTATTGACCAAATGTTTCCGCCGAAAAGGCTTCAATAAATATATTTTCGAAACTATTTACAAGACGGAAAGCTTCGATGGAAGCTCCTAATGGAAAACGAGTCCAACTCATTCATAAATGCTAACGCTCCTGTCGAATTATTCAATTAAGACCCTGAATTTTCCAACAACCAAGGAACATAATCCCAAATAACTCAAGAATAACCCGCAAATCGACAGGCCCGCAACTGCTACTCTCCCGCGTGCCTCAAGCGAGAAAAATTCCATCAAGAACGCGACGAGTAAAGACAGTAGAAGGAGGGGGGGGGAGATGAGTTTCCTCACACTTTTGGGGCTGGCATGAGAAGGAGATGAGTTCCGAGCCATGGCGGTCGGAGAAACTGAGTCAAAATGGTGTGGCTTCTTCTTCAGTGGCTCATCTGGTTCTGGGTTCTCCATGACAATCAAGAAAATTAAAGACCCAAGAGATGAACAGAAACAAGTTAACGGGAATCGATCAGATCATTCAGACAAGATTCCAGCTTCTGCTGAATCCTTGTCCCGGGGACGGAGAACCGCGAAATTGAATTCCACCGGACGAAAGGGTTTCGCTGTTCTGTTCGCCATTTACGTGTAGAATCCGTGGCTAAAACGGCGACGTTCTGAACAAGAAGAGTCTTGAGGATAAGCTTTTTGTGCCCATTGGGCCCAAAGAGTTGGGCGCATTTAACATGATATTTTCAAAGCTCAAAAGCCCAATCCAAATTTTCAATAATTCAAAAACAGAACACATTATTTATATTGTTTTTGGTTGTTCGTTCAATTATTTTGAATTTTGAATTTTATTTTTGGATAATTTAAATTTCTTTTTCACTTGGATTTTACATCCATTCAGATTTTATCCGAATTATTTAAACTAATAATTATCGTTATTCAATTTTTGAGATTTTTTAGATTTAATTTTACCGAATTTGAAATATATTCAAAAATTGAATACAATTTATATATTATTCGTTTTCCAATTCATTATTGTATTCTTAAAAAATGGTAGCCTGAATTTTGGACAGACAGAATCCTTCTTTTTGTATGCATGGTCCCCAGGAATATGATGCTTTTTATTAGTATAAAATATAATTTTCCATGTACTCATAAAATATTACCATTGACATTTTAATTACGAGGAATGAAAAATAAATTCATCGGTAAAAACAAATTTATCAACGAAAAATAAATAAACTAAAATTATGCAAATTAAATTTGATATGAAATCGATTATATCTAATTTTTATAAAATTGAATTTATCAATAAAAATAATATTTTTTTTAAAAAAATAAATATTTTTAATTAAATAATATATAAGTATATATTTTTTTTTAAAAAAAAATCTGCAACAAGAATAAATGGACACAACACAACACAACCAAATACAGAAAATTAAATCATGTGGAAACCCACGTGATTTATCATAATTAAGCAAATAATTTTATTTTCCTAACATTGACGGTGAAGCTTTAACGGATGGGCCCACGTACGTGGTAAGTGGAAGACGGGGCCCAATTGTCGTACCATTTTGATGGGCTTTTTTCTCAAGTCTTTTGAACAAAGTCATCAGGCACGCCCCAAAAACTGGGGTTGAAAAGTCAGGTCTATGTTCCTACGACCGGACCGTCATTGTAAAAACAAATGGTAAAATTCCAAAAAATATTTAAATTTATTAATTTTGTTAAAAAAAAAAACTGAAAACTCCTTCTTTTACCAAATAAAAACTCAATTTGATTTTAAAATTATAAATAAATTTAAACTTTATAATAATTATTATTTTTAAATTTGAATACCTATTGATATCTTATATGACTATATACAGTAAGATATAAGTGTAACCACTTTGTTACAAAATTTGAAATATGTGGACAGTTTAAAAAAATATAGGATTTTATCGTCGGTAGATTTTAGATTTGAAATTATGAAGGTTAAACAAGCCAAATATTTTCATGTCAACCAATTACTTGCCGCCACGTTGTGGGTAGGTGAACAAGAAAATTTAATTTTCTCTTTTTGAGAATTTTAGAAATATTTTAAAAAATTCAAATACCAAAATATTTAAAAACAAAACGAAACGACCAGAAAGGAGGAAATGACGTTGGAAATCACCAAGAAGAAAATGCCAAAGCTGTCTCCCTCTCCTACATATGCTTTTTGTGCAAATCGAATCTAAATCAATAATGCATAATTATATTTATATCAAATTTTATTGCAAAAAAATGGATATAATGTTTTGAAAACCGACTTGCATAAATTCATATCAAATATAAAATAATTTTAAAAATCGAATCAACATACAAAAATTATTTACAAACTAATATTTTTTCCAATAAAAAAGGAAATTGGAAAATTCGATGTAATCAAATCAAAACGAAATTCTAATTAAAAAAAAAACAGTTAAAACAATCATGTCCATTGAATCGAATTATCGAATTTCTCGATACGGCTAAAACCGTAATTCATACGATTTCATGACGCAACCACAACGGTACATAAAAAAAATATATAATTTTTACCCAAACTTTTTAAGTCAATACCCCCAACCAATCCTCAAACTCAATATTTCAAACTAATACACCCAACAAAATTAAAATATTCCAACAAAAAAAAAAAAAAAAAACTTTTTTCTAGAACAATGTCCCATACTGCTTATATAACATAAGATTCCATCAATGAACCGACCAAAGAAAGAAAAACAATAATACAGAGAAAATGGGTAAGCTCCTCCTCACCTTCTTCACCGTACTCGCCGTCGCCATCGCCGTCGCCGTCTCCGGCGTCTCAGCCGCCGGAGATTTCGCGAGAACGGTAGATCGGAAACTCCTCGGCCTGAACAAGAAAGAGAAACTGACCCATTTCAGAGTGTATTGGCACGACATCCTCAGTGGTCGGAACCCTACCTCCGTCATGATCCGACCACCTGTTTTGAACACCACCTTCTTCGGATCCATCAACATGATCGACAATCCCCTCACTTCGGACCAGCCCCTCAACTCCACGGTAAGTTTTATAATCCACACGTATTTCTCACTCTTTTACTCTACAAGGGGAAAATCCAGTAAAAATACATTCAATGGTTAAAAAATTAAATAAATGTGCAAACTTTTTTCTATAAAAATATATCAACTTTGACAGTACAAATTAATGTATGTGATTAAAGAATTTACAACAAGTTCATATATTTGTTATGCAGATAGTGGGCCGAGCACAGGGGATGTATGCAGCGGCGTCGCAGCAGGGATTAGGGTTTCTGATGGCGATGAACTTTGCGTTCACGACGGGAAAGTACAACGGAAGTACGATAACGATACTTGGTCGGAACACGGCCATGTCCGAGGTTCGAGAGATGCCCGTGGTCGGAGGGAGCGGTCTTTTCCGGTTCGCCCGAGGTTACGTCGAGGCTCGGACCAAGTGGCTCGATTTCAAGACCGGTGACGCCACTGTCGAGTACAGTTGTTATGTCTTGCATTACTAACTATTAGTAAATCTCTTTTGATTAATAATATTGTAATTTCCTTTTAATATTATCATTTGAATTAACGTAATAAGCATATATATATATATATTTGTATTGGTGTTTTATGTGTCTATGAATTTGTCGTTTAGTTTTGGAATTCGCACCGTCAATGGTGGTGGTGGTGGTCCTGCTTAGGTCTCACTAAAATGTTATTTGTATCAAGCTTTTTGCGACATTATGCACTTACAAAAGGAAACTATATATGAGTGTGTGATAAAATATATAGGTTTTCATATGAAAATTTGATCCAAATATAAAAGATGAGAAAATACGTGTTCTATAAATTAAAAGAACATTGGCAGATAAATGCTGGCGGTTTTGTTGTTGACATACCTATTTTCACGTTAGCGTTTTTTGGGATGTCAAAAAGGGGGTCGAATTCCGAATCCCGACCTGAACTCACCCGAAAAATAAAAGGTTTTTAGTTTAAAAATATAGCAATTTTCGGACCGGACCTAAATCGGGCTTGAGTTTTTTCGAGCTAAGTCCGACAGGCTTCGACCGATCCAAAAGTTCGATTTTATTTTTTGTGGAAAAAATGAGTTTAAAACATATAAAATCTGATTTTTTTTTATATGTATTAAACGGGATGACCCGATCCGATCCGAGCCCGACTTTTATAGGGACGGGTTTCGACTTGATTTATTAGACTCGAAAAAATTGAACAAAAGATCGGCCTAATTTACACCCCGTTTTTTTAAAATGGATTAATGAATGATATTATGATATAGATAGTGTATGATAACATTGCACATTTAGGTTGGGTAATAGTTTTTTAATTAACGATGAATAATACATAAGAGTGAACATTTTGGTTCTGTTAATATTCTTAGAACGAATCGTTAGATGATACTATTCTAAATAAACAGTGCATAAAACTGGAAATCTCGATTCGGTTACACCAAACTAAACCAGATGGTATACAATAATACCATAAATATTTTAAATTGGAATATATTTTCCACAAAATAAAACTTTTAAATATAAAAAATAATGAAATTAAAATATACATGAATAAGAAGTAAATTAATAAAATGGAGACCATCTTTGAAATGTACCAATCTCATCTCACAGTATATTTCTATTTATTCGAGAGCCGATATGAAATGAAACGTCGCCACAATTTTCACCAGTCGCCCAAGATGACAACCGTTTCTTGAGGGACTGATTTCTCCATTTCAGATAGCTGACGTGGCACTTACCATCGCCTTTTCTATCTCCTCTCTCTCTCTCATTCTCTCTCCAGTCTGAAGATCCTCGGTTTTTCTTCGCTACTTTTTCCTTCTCTGCCGAACCCTAATCCCCAAATTCGATTTTGTCATCGCGAAACAGCAAGTTCTATCTTTTCCGTGATTCCATACCCTAAGTTTCAAATTCGTCACGAGCCTGATGATCGTCGTTTGAGGACTATAATGATCGGTCTCTTCGCGTCCCGTCTTCGTCTTGATTGCATGGGGTTTGAGCTATGCCGGAGCTTCGCCGTGGAGTCCGCCGTGGTCGTGCTGCGGCTGCTTTAGCTCACAATAAGCTGGAACAACCACCGGCGGAGAGGAAACAGAAGCGGAATTGCGGCAGAGGACGTGGTGCGGTCGTCCTAGGAGTTACTGAGACGGCGGAGAGGCCGAGGACAAGATTGGCGGCAAGGAGGCTGAAGCAAGAAGACAAGGGGATCGTTCAGGAGAACCCGGTGATCATTGTGTCGAAGGAGAGCGACATCGATAGGAAGAAGGGCAAGAAAGTTTGTGTCGAAGGAGAGCGACATCGATAGGAAGAAGGGCAACTGTCGACTCGGTGAAGAAGATAAGAAAGCCATGGCAATCGGTAACGATAGCGGTGGGTCGAATAAGGCGGCTGCGCAGGAAGAAGAAGGGAATACGGCGCCTTTCCCAGAGAGGGTATCGATTTTTATCTTTTAATGTCTTGAATTCTTCCTGGGATTGGATGATACTCTCGTAGATGCATCTGTTCTTCTTTGGTGCTAGTCATGGGTTTAGTTATCTTATATAGTTTGTCATCTAGTTTTGACTAATTGTTTTGTGTCCGGTGGTTTTGGACCATGATTTGCTATATTGTGAAGTGTTTTGTCATGTATCTTTGGTTATGTACGTTGTCTTTTTTGTTGAAATATTTGGATGTACTTTGAAGCATGTATTATCGCAAAACTAGTTCCTATTCCAATTAGGAATCTCAATCCAATTAGGATTCCTAATCGGGATAATTTAGCACACGTACTTGTCACTAATGTTAATTTGTTTGTCTTTTATCAGGTCCAAGTTGGCGGATCACCTCTATATAAGGTTGACAGGAAGTTGGGGAAAGGTGGTTTCGGACAAGTATTTGTTGGCCGCCGTATTGGTGGTGGGAATGAACGCAGCGCAGGAGCAGGAATAATGGAGGTCGAATTACTTCGGTCCATCTTGGCATTGTATCAGTTGTTTTTGGGTAACTCGGTTTCCAATTTATGTTATTTCTTCTTGCTTGTACCAGGTAGCACTAAAGTTTGAGCATCGAAGCAGCAAAGGTTGCAACTACGGTCCTCCACATGAATGGCAGGTGTACAAGTAGGTGTCTCCTTCACTTGTCTTTCTATCTATGTTGGTTTTGGGATTCTTTTACCCTAGTTATATTTGTTTTGCTTAAGAGATATCATTGTTTGTTTTGTGGTGAACAGCACCCTTGGTGGTAGCCATGGAGTCCCTAGAGTGCATTACAAAGGGAGACAAGGAGACTACTATGTTATGGTAAAAGTTTGGATCTCATGTTTCTATCCTTGTTTTTGTCATATCACTGATTTGTTGGCCTTCTCGGTCCAGGTTATGGACATGCTTGGTCCAAGCTTATGGGATATATGGAATTCTTCGGGACAAGCGTGAGTTTTCATTCTTCAGTATCGCAAAGCTCTCGGTTCCTTATGTTGTGAATCATGTATTTCCATTATGGATATCCATAATTTAAATGGTTTCTTTTTTAGTTTGCGGCGTGAACTATTAAAGTAGTATCTTCATCTCTATAAAAAAAGTTAGGCAGTCGTAACATGACTTCCAAAATCCATGGATTGTAGAAACTAGAAATATGATATTCCTAATGTACTTTTTACCTTTTTACTAAGCAGAATGTCCTCAGAAATGGTAGCCTGCATTGCAGTTGAATCACTATCCATCCTTGAGAAGATGCACGCGAAAGGGTATGTACTTAATTTTTTGTTTCTGCATACCATTTGGTTGCCCAAAGTTTACTGTTATCTTTTTTTTGTCAATCTCCGCCACCTGGCGGTTCTTCTTTTTGCGTTTCACCTGACTAGGATAACATGTTGTGAGTTGCTTCTTGTTTCAGTTATGTGCACGGAGATGTTAAACCCGAAAACTTTTTACTGGGCCAGCCTTCTTCGCCTCAAGAGAAGAAGCTATTCCTTGTTGATCTGGGATTAGGTTTGTTGAGTTCGTTCTCTCGATAATTCTGATTAGCTATTTGTCTCCCTTTCTCATTGTCTGATCCAATGTTTCAGCAACAAAGTGGAGAGAGAGTGGAAGTGGGCAGCATGTTGAATATGATCAACGTCCTGATATGTTCAGGTGAGATTTGTTTGTAATTTTCAAGTTCAGTATTTTGATATTCTCTCGATTTCCTCGTGAATTTTCTCGGTTTAATATCTGTAGGGGGACAGTTCGATATGCAAGTGCACATGCTCATTTGGGAAGAACTGCAAGTAGAAGGGATGATCTTGAATCCCTGGCTTACACGCTCATCTTCCTTCACAGAGGCAGATTGCCATGGCAAGGATATCAGGTGCGAGTGCTGTAATACCTTGTAAACCTCTTTCTTTTCTTTGTAGTGTCATTTGGTTTAGCACATTTCGTTCTCAGCTAATCCCTTCTCGATCTCAGGGAGATAACAAGTCATTCCTAGTCTGCAAAAAGAAGATGGCAACATCTCCTGATATGCTTTGCTGTTTCTGCCCTCCTCCTTTCAAGCAATTTCTTGAGATTGTGGTGAACATGAAATTTGATGAGGAGCCCAACTATGCCAAGTTAATCTCTTTGTTTCAAGATCTTTTAGGGCCGAATCCGGCCATAAGGCCTATAAATACAGAAGGTGCTCAAAAGGTGATTGTTACACGATGTACCTCTTTTGTCCTTTTTTTTCTCTGGAAAGTTCATCTTGGATTTGTTGTTTGATGTCTTGTTTCTTTGCTAGATCATTTTTCAAGTTGGACAGAAACGAGGTAGGTTAAGCATTGGAGAAGAAGAAGAAGAAGTGCCTAGGAAAAAAGTCCGTTTGGGAGTTCCTGCCACACAATGGATATCAATTTACAATGCTAGGCAGCCAATGAAGCAGAGGTAAGATTCATGGTTGCCTAATTATGTGTTCACGATTTTACTCTTAATGTAATCATCTATCGGCCACTTCACTGGAAAGTTTAAAAAATTTGATTCATAGTGTGATTATATTACCGATAATTTACTTGGTCACAGGCTTTTGGTTCGCTGATAATTTTATTGTGTGCTAGGTACCATTATAATGTGGCTGATATAAGGTTGGCACAGCATATTGAAAGAGGTATTGCGGATGGTTTGTTGATAAGTTGTGTGGCATCATGTTCTAATCTTTGGGCCCTTATAATGGATGCCGGAACTGGCTTCACGAGCCAAGTTTACGAACTGTCTCCTGTCTTCTTGCACAAGGTAATTCCATTATTTTCTGTTTCTAGTCCTTGTGTTTGTGCCTGTCAAAATGGTCTTAAAAAAGAAACGAAATCATATGCTGTACCTGGCAGGAATGGATAATGGAACAATGGGAGAAGAACTACTATATAAGTTCTATTGCTGGTGCCAACAATGGGAGCTCGTTAGTGGTCATGTCAAAAGGTATATGTGCATGTCCTCTCCCATTTTTACCATGGAATAATGAAACTACTGTTTTTGTTAGTCTATGTAAATAGGCTGCAAATTTGGGGATCTTTGCTGAGAACCCTGAGTAAAACGGTTTGGCAAATGACATTTTTGCGATCACTGTAAATTTTATACTAACGGCTGTCTTTTGTGGATCAAATTTCTCTTTTGAAGGTACACAGTTTACTCAACAGTCTTACAAAGTAAGTGATTCATTCCCTTTTAAGTGGATAAACAAGAAATGGAGGGAAGGCTTCCATGTGACCTCAATGGCCACAGCAGGAAGTCGATGGGGTGTTGTGATGTCCCGCAATGCAGGTTACAGTGAACAGGTAAAACATTTGTTTCACTTGATTTCCTTCCTCCATGTAATGGAGTTACACTTATATACTCTTTCGATGGATGGATTCCTTCTACTTTTTGGACTTTTTATGAGCCTTTACTTTATCGATATTCTCCTTGTATGTGATGTAATCGAATTCAATTCTTTCCATATATTTTTTTCCCTTAATATCCGTAGGTTGTGGAGCTTGATTTTCTGTATCCAAGTGAGGGTATCCACAAGCGTTGGGACAGTGGGTTTCGTATCACCTCAACCGCAGCAACCACTGATCAAGCTGCTCTTATCCTTAGCATTCCAAGGCGTAGACTGGTTGATGAAACACAAGAGACGTTACGCACCTCCCAGTTCCCCAGCACACATGTTAAGGTGATAATACAACTCCCTCTCCCTCATAAAAAAGATTGATCTTTCCCGGTCTTGAAAATCTTGAAAATTTTCTTGACCCACCTTCTGAATTTAGTTGCCCCGTCTTACGCATCGTTTACTTTGTTGTGCAGGAAAAATGGGGGAAGAACCTCTATCTTGCATCTTTATGCTATGGGCGAACTGTCTCTTGAGACTTGGCTTAGTAATGTTTACAGGGAAGAGAAACTGTTCAAGGTCTCCTCTCTATTAGTTTCATGTACGGATCTATGCCCCTGCCTCTTTTCTTTTTGTTTCTCAGTTCAACTGTGAAGCAATATTGTTGTGTTACCCACAGTTCAATTGTGAAGCAGCGAGGCATTACCAAGTAGAAGCACATTCATTTCAGTGTATTTATTATATTGACTCTATTGAAAAATTGTTCTGTTATCAATATCAACAAATATGGAATTTGTGGTAGCTATATGCCACGACCTGGAACTCTCTCAGTTGCAGCTCCTGGCTGTTGCCACTTGAGAAGAAAACCCTCGGAGGAATGGGATAAGCCCTTCAAGGTATAGCTGAAATCCCTTGCTTCGTTCTTCCTCTTCTCCCATAAATTGCAGGAAAGGCCATGTGTATGCTGCTGGTGGTTTTCTTATGGGGAAAGGCCTCAAAGCAAATTGAGGAAAAGCTTGCAGCATTGATAGAGGAAATCTCAGATCCTGATGCACAGTATCTGTAAGTTGCTCTGCTTGTTAATTGCGGTACATGGTCAATCATGAGGAGGAACCGAGCAAGACTTCGATATGATGTTTCGGATTTTCAATATATTCGCCTGTGCGCAGACACGCACAAAATCGATATCTGGGTTAATAGGCATTACCAATATCTTACAAGTTGGTATTAGACTTTTGACATATTTGTGATTGAAGAAGTTAAAACAGCCATCATGCATGTGTTGATGTGTTATGGATGTCTTCCTCAGATTATGTGGTCTTAATCCTTGACAAAACTTTGTGGCAGAGGAGGAAGACATCCATCAGAAAGGCTGGGAATTAATTGCCCACTACTACTAGTCTACTACTGAGTAAGTGTGTTCTTATAGTGATCCCATTTCCATTTAATTATTTTTTTATTACATAAATTGCATTTTTCCACTAGTATTTTGTCTTTGAAAGATAATATCAAGTATATTGGAAACAAAATTGTTATTTTTGTTTTCGGCTGTAATGTGAATAATAAATTTATTTCTTCTGAATTGACGACATTCACATGGTGCAATTAAATGTCATATGTTGTCAGCAGCTTTTTATATATATATATATATATATATGTGTATATATGGCGGTGGGTTCCATCTCTTGACAGACCAAAAATAAGACCATTGTAACAGGCTTGCATGCATGCACATGTGCCCGAGCGCACGCAGGCAGATCCACAAGCACTTTGTAAATATATTTATGATTTGGATTTGGAGAATTATTATTCTTGGATATGTTTTCTATATATATATATATATATATTTTTTTTTTTTTTTGGATCTCATGGGGAAGAGAATAGACAGTTGCGGCAAGTAGAAGCTCGATGCTGCAATCTGTTGGACCCCACTTCCACTCCCACAACTTCACGATATATATATATCCCCTCAGACCCCCTTTTATTGATATTCCAAATATCTTAAAGTTTTATTTGGTCATTTCATTTGTCGCTAAAACCCAATTTAAATTTTTATGAGCATGAGTTTACATTTTATAAAAACATTTATATTTGAATATATAAAAGAAAAAAGGGTGTTCCGATATGGAAAATTATTTTAAAGACCACAAAAAAATTTGAAGTTTGAAGAAAGCGTGAAAAAAAGATTCGCATCCGAACAAAGTGTTTGATCCATTTGACCTAACACTCTTAAGTTACCGACCGATCTTGTCATTGGAGTTCGATCTTCTTCTACCTTTCCAAAGGGATTAATAATTGGATTTGGATCCAATGGATAGAAACAAAATAAATAAACCATATTTCAGTTATTATATGAATTTTATGCTTTAAAAATTTTAAGGTTCCAATAATGATATACAAGAAATTGTTTTTAGCAACTTAAACTAAAAATAAAGTCATACCCGTGCTAACTCTAAAAATTTTCAAAGAAACGCAGTCTCTTTTTTTTCCACATTCATGGTGCGTTTTATAAATACGAAGCTAAAAAATAAGAAAATTTCAACCAATTTAAATTTAAAAATTGATTATATATTATTTTATAAAATCAGATTAATTAACTATAAAATAATTGAAAATGAATAAAATATTTTTAGGTAAAATTAAAACTATAAGGAAATTTAAATTAACAAAATTAAATGAATACAGTGGTAATGATAAAACCGAGATCCCGAAAACAAGACCCTGCTACTGTGACTCGTACGCTTGGTACTTACTATTTTATTTACTAGTTTTCTGAGAAATGTTAATAAATGCATGTTACCGTTGCGAATTTAATGCAAAAATTTCCTATAAACTCAAAAAAAAAAAAAAATCGGAGACGAAGTTAATACCTCGGAAAACGCACACATCACATTAATTACAGACAAGAAAATTAATTCATGGGTGAGGAAATTAATCAAAATAGATTTTCAACGATAAATTCAGATGTATCCTAGAAGAAATTAAAATAAATTCAAGTGAAAAGGTTGCTTTAATGAGCCTGATACAGTAAATGATATAAATTTTTTGGAGTACATATGAAAATGAATCTATAATCATATATTTGAAAGTATAATTATAATGGTTCATGGTTTCTCATGCCCAATAAAAGCGTAAATTATTCATGAAATTGATGGTCCATGTCCCTAAAGTAAACTCTAACATGGTCAATTAAAATAGTTTCTAAATAATAATATATTTTAGTTCCGAATAAAAACAAATAATCTCTTTGGAGACGACGATACGTGCATGGATGGATGATGCGCACTATATAATTTTTTTTAAATTAAATTTTGCAATAGAAATCAAATTATTGCCCTATAATTTAAAGAGGTCATCGCTTAAACTATAATTTTGATTTATTAAAATAATAGTTTATTTTATTTATTCATCAAAATAATTTTGATTTATTATTTATTAAAATAATACGCTTAAACAAATAAACGTATTGTTTTTTAAAAAAAGGCCATTCGTTTGATAATTTGATTTATTCAAAAACTGTTCAGGAAAACAATGGAATACGAGACAATCGACCGCCTTGAAGAATGGGCAAATCAAACTCTGTTCCTTAAATAAAATTCAAAATAATATATTTAAATGAAGCTTTAATTTAAACCAACAATAACACACACACACACGCGCGTATATATATAAAAATATATATTCATTTTAAAACTCAAATAAACCACCGTCCATGAACATCCAAACATGTCATACAAAATTATGGATATTTAAATAGATGTTTTTTAGTGATAAGTTTAAATTTCTTTTATAAAATGTTCTAAAGTGTTCGAATAAATACAAGTCACCGGAGCCGAAGCCGCCACTAAACCGCTGTCGTTTCGTAAGAGGCGGTCCAATTAATTTTATTTTTAACTGTGGTAAAATGGTTAATTAAAGTTTCACGGGGTAAAGTGACAGGACGAGACCGGGCGTAGCCGTAACAGCATTGGTCGCGTCGCCGTAGGCGACTGGCGAGGTAAAACGCAGCGTTTCATTGGGAAATGGAATGGTCCAATGACGCCGACAGGTCAGACCGGGGGCCGGAACTGGGACCCATCTACATTACTCATGCTTGTATACATAGGCATATACATATATATATATATATACGTACATTGTTCATATATATATATGTGTCAAAAACTGGTTACAAATTGATATCATGAATAATTAAAAAACCAACATTTACATTTTGCATGTTCGGATGCTATTAAATATTGAGGGACCAAAAGTACAATGGTATTTATTGAGGGGTCCAACAATATTTTAGGTTTCGTCTTATTTCTAATTCGATTTTTACAATTTTTTTATATTCAATTTTATTATTAATTTCCAAACAATTGGATTCTATTATAAGAGTTTCATAAAAATATTTACTTTTTTAGATAAAATTTTATTTTCCTTCAAATTTTTCATTAATTTTTTTATGTAATTTGTTTGGTATTAATAAAAAATGGGGAGACATAGTTTGTTTCATTAAATTTATATTGCATTTGACGTTTAAATTCAAGTTTAAACAAATTATATTTAATCATTTTTTAGGATAAAATTGGATTCAATTCCAATAAAAATTATATGCCGTTTGTTTTGATGAAATTCATGAGGTTAAAGCTAACGAGAAATAATCAAGTCAAGAATTGTAACCCTTCGGCTATTGGCTATCGTGTGTATAGAAATCTTATCTTATAAACTAAACACGACATGAACAAAGGTCATCATGGGCATGTGATTTGGTTTTTTTTTCTCTCATATTTCATAATATATATTAATATTTGAAATGCCCAAAATATCACTTGGTTCTTCATAAAAAAAAATATACACATGACAAAATCAATAAAATTTGGGTTAGAGTTTATATATATTAATAGTAGCTATATAAAAAAAATGCAATACATAAGATGGTGGAAAGATATATGACAAGAAAAAAGAAAAGAATAAAATAAATATATATAAAAAAAACTACAGAAGAGATTTTTCTATTAAATTAAAAATTAGCTATATACCATCTTTGATAAATATGAGAGATACTTTGTTCGATTTAAAAAAAAAATCCAACTATGGATTTCATACATCAGTAAGTTTATGTGAATATCATGAATTATTGAAAAATAAAATGCGGAAATTAACTTACAAAAAAAAGAACAAAAGAGAAAAGAACGGAAATACTTTTATTGTTAAATCTCTTCTTTCTTCTTACATTACAATGAAAATAATACATACATTTATAGGAAAAGTTATTGAAATAAACAAGGAAATAAAGATACGAAAAAAACAAATAAGGCAAAATATAATTATCACGATATATATTTTATTCTTAATTGATATTATGCCTTTAATTATTATCAATCATATCGAATCTCCATATTTTGTTTCTATTTCAACATGGACCACCTCTGATCTGAAATCTATGGCTGTTTCATATTATAATGTTTTGTTTCTTCATTTAAATTTACCAAGAAAACATTTGATTTATTTTTTATTTTTACTTTTGGCTAAAAAAATACATTATTGAATGGGAAAAAAAGGGAAATTTTTTATTATAAAAAAAGAAAATGATTAGGGCATATAGTGTTTGGACCACGAGATTTTACAACAAGCCACGGGAACTCTCTCAACTACCTGTTTGATTGTGCCCCTGCATTAATCTTACAAACTTTTAATGGTTGGACCATTTCCAATTTTTTTTGTTTCCTTATATATATATAATGTTATAATTATTTTATTTTCCCCATACGTCTATTTAGATAGATTTCGATTTTTTTTCTCATTTAAATTTTCAAAACGAATCACGAAATTTTATTTCTTGGTAATTTTGGATTTTTTTGGTTTGAGTGTTTTAAAATGATTACAAAATATAGAAGCTAAATATGTTACTGCGAACCTATTTTTAAATAAAGAACTCATCATTTGATTTCATTCAATTAGAGAAATAGATAATTTATAATAGAATATAATATTAAACCGGTTCGAATAAATAAAATATCATCTTTAACAAAATATATATATATATATATATATATATATCATCCACAGCCAATGCGACGTCGTATCCGAAGAAGTAAGGAAAGTAACGGTAGTGGTGGAGGCTAGTTTTGTCTTTTCGACAACTACAAAATATTGTTACAAATTACAAATTTTAAATTTCAAAATAAAGGAATAAAAGAAGAAAAATAAAGTTACATTCAAAGGTTAATACTTTACTAAAAAAAATTCAATTTTTGTACTAAGCAACTTCAAATTTGTGTCCTAAAGATAATATACGAGTGATTAATTCCAAAACCCAACTTCTATTATTTTATAGAGATGAGACGATTGTTAAAAAAAATATTTGTTTTTTTGAAATTTTCGTTTTTTCCATTATTTAGTATGGTTTTAAAGTGTGTGTGTATATATATATATATATATATATTATATAGAAAATAATTAAAGAAAATAGTAAACATTGGAAAAAGCAGCAGAGAGAGAAAGAGACTAATTTTCCTTATTAATACAATTGCTAGAGAGAGAGGGAAGCTGTTGGATCATTCATTCATCTGTACGTTATACAGTAAGCTGAGGGAAGGGGGGGTTTTCGTTTTCTTGTGTTCGTAGGAGACAAAAAGAGAAAAGAAACCCTAAAAAGCTGCTTCAAGTTTCGAGCTTTTTTCTCCCTGTTTCTATCTCAGCAGCATTTATGCTTCTTAGATTTGCTGCACTGCCTTGTTTCCGTCGAGGCTGTGTTTGATGTGAAAGGAGAAGCCCCAGGAGCGAACAAAAAATGGCGAAATCAATGCTTCTGGTAAGAAGATTATTTCCTCCCCTTCGCTTCTCGTTTTTCTTCCCCGTCTTGTTTCAGTTGTCGGTGTCTTCTTCCCCATCTCTCTCTCTCTCTCTGTGGTTGAATCGTTTTCATGGCGGTGAAACACATGGAAGGTTAACTATTGCATTTTGTAATATAGTAATGCCCTTTTTCGTTCGCTTTGTTGATATGTTTACGTTATAATATAATATGATATAAATTGGCCGTTCTAGTTGGTTTCTGTTTGGCTGCTGGGAAAATTCCTTTTGAGCATATGAAATTGGCTTTTAAAATCTACGGTCAACGATTCTTTTTCTCTACTTTTCGGTTTTTCTTCGAATGATTTGAGTGAGGTGTTAGTCTCCTCTCTGCGTGATTTTGTGCTTCTTCATTTTCTAGGCTTCCAAACACCCTCCTTTCGTTTCTTCGTTTTGAATATCATTTTTTTTTGGTTATTGCAGGTTGGATTTTCAGAGCTGGGAAGCTTTTGATGAGATCGGTTCTTGTCTTGGAGCAGAGTGGACATAATCTATAGCATCTATTTGATCTCCTGGGGGGGTGGGGGGATTTTGCCTTTTTTGGGGTCTAGATCCAAAAACGAGACACTCTACTTCCATGTGGATGTTTCTTGGGAAGCTTTGACTCAGTGATTTGATCTAAAGGGCGAGCTAGAAAAAGGGGAAAGAAGCTATATTTGATTTTCCTGGAAAATTTGACGCAGCTTCTCTCTTAGGAAGATTGAGAATTTGAATTTTCTTGCTTTTGGGGAAAGAAGGTACAAGGATCTTTTGGGAAGAATCTAGTGAAGCAAGATTTTATCTTTTGGGGCTACAGAGGAAGAAAAATGCCGGTGAATGAATAGCTGGGTTGTGACATTTATGTGTTTCAGTGAGGAAGGGGGGGACGAATAGCAGCAAGGTCTTGTCATGTCTCTTTGAGTTTTGTATCCATCTGCAAATCCTTACTGGAAGGACAAATCTTGCAGTGTCTCTGATGCTTGTCCTGATTCCCATCTCTGTGGGGGCAAGCAAATAATTGAAGCAGCAAAGCTTGTTGTCTCAGCTTTTAATTTTTTTTCTTTTGCTGGCCATAGTCCTCTGAGCCAAAACCATCTCCAAGAAAGTACACACGGCTTGAGATTGGGTTTTTTTCCTTTGGGTGACATATAGGCTGTTGTTATAGTTCTTGCCTTTACTTCTCCAGCTTTGTGTCTTAAATGAGTCGGCTACAGAAGCGAGGGAAACAGGAAACGCAAGGGCCTGATGGGGCAGAAAAGGTTATTGTGGCTGTTAAGGCGTCCAGGGAGATCCCAAAGACAGCCCTGGTTTGGGCCTTGACTCATGTTGTTCAGCCTGGGGATTGCATAACACTTCTTGTTGTTGTCCCTTCTCACAACTCTGGTACTTTTCTTGCTTGTCCTTTTTCGATTCATTGGCTTTCTCTGTCATGTAAGTTTGACTGTTCCCCTCGTTATCTCATCTTCTTTGTGATGAATGTGTAGGTCGAAAACTATGGGTTTTCCCAAGGTTTGCTGGGGACTGTGCCAGTGGTCATCAGAAATCTCATTCAGACGCATGTCCGGAGATAAAGAGCGATCTCACTGACACTTGTTCCCAGATGATTCTTCAGCTCCAAGATGTCTATGATCCAAATAAGGTTAGCCATCTTGTGCATTTGAATAAACAGTGATCTTTTGAAACTTTGCCGGTTTCTCACGATTGTGTTTGATTGGAAGATAAATGTCAAGATTAAAATTGTCTCTGGATCACCCTGTGGAGCTGTGGCTGCGGAAGCGAAGAAAGTTCAAGCAAACTGGGTTGTATTGGACAAGTAATGATCTATTTTCATTGATCTTTTGTTCTTTATGAAACATGCAAGAATGTTTTCTCGAATCTCTCTGTCTGCTCGAGGCTATTTATACCCTTTTTTTAAACAGTTTTCGTCCTAACATTGCATGTTTCCTTTTCAGGCAGCTTAAGCATGAGGAGAAGCGGTGCATGGATGAGCTGCAATGTAACATTGTAGTGATGAAGCGTTCTCAAGGGAAAGTGCTGCGCTTGAATTTAGTTGGATCAGCCAGAAAGGAGTGTACCTTACCAACTAGACAGGAAGCAACATCTGAAAAGCATATGGAGAACAAAATGGGTTCTTCAGATTCTATTCGAGGGCCGGTTGTGACTCCTATTAGCAGTCCTGAGCTCGGGACACCATTCACAGGTACAGAAGCTGGGACTTCATCGGTGTCCAGCTCTGACCCGGGAACCTCACCTTTTTTCACATCTGGCATGAATGGAGGAGACTTGAAGAAAGTTGAAACATTGGTCATCAAGGAAAATGATGGTCTTGATGAATCTGGTTCTGATACAGAGAGTGAGAATGCATCACTAGCTTCGACTAGTACGAGATTCCAGCCATGGATATCAGAAAGCTTGTGGAAAAATGATGATAGAGGGGCTCAAGTATCTACGGCAAAGGCATTGCTTCAGAAGTACTCCAAACTCGATGGGGAAGTGGGAATGTCAAGTCGGAGGACTGACTTGGACTTTAGTGGAAACTTGAGAGATGTGATCTCACTCTCTCGAAATGCTCCACCTGGACCGCCTCCTCTCTGCTCTATATGTCAGCACAAGGCACCAGTATTTGGAAAACCCCCGAGGTTGTTCTCATATGCGGAGTTGGAGCTTGCAACGGGCAGGTTTTCACAGGCAAACTTCTTGGCAGAGGGCGGATTTGGATCTGTTCATAGAGGTGTACTGCCGGATGGCCAGGTAGTCGCTGTAAAGCAACACAAATTGGCCAGTACCCAGGGAGATGTGGAGTTTTGCTCGGAAGTAGAAGTTCTGAGCTGTGCCCAGCACAGAAACGTTGTCATGTTGATCGGTTTCTGCATCGAAGATAGCAGAAGGCTCTTGGTCTATGAATACATATGTAATGGGTCATTGGATTCTCATCTATACGGTAGGTTGACAAAAAAAACTTCCATGTAAAGCTTTAGTGTTATGGTGGAGAGACGTTTGCTGAGAACTAAAACTTGTATTTCAGGTCGACATAGAAAACCGTTGGAATGGACAGCACGGCAAAAGATTGCTGTTGGTGCAGCCAGAGGACTTAGGTATCTGCACGAAGAATGCAGAGTGGGTTGCATTGTCCACCGCGACATGCGGCCTAACAACATTCTCATCACTCATGATTATGAACCCCTGGTATGTATGGCAATGGCAAAATAGTTTATGTTGTGACTGTAATGGATTATCCTAGAACCGAGAAATCGACGTTCTGATTCACACGATTTTGTTTTTGTCCTGACTGAGCGAGCTTGTTATATTCTGTAAGGTTGGAGATTTCGGTCTAGCGAGGTGGCAGCCTGATGGGGACCTCGGAGTGGAAACACGAGTTATCGGAACTTTCGGGTAAAAATCAGCTAAAGCAGCATCGCCCTTCTTTACTACTATACACTTCCGTGTAAACTGAGGGGAAAGTGCTTTATTTTGGTGTGTAGGTATTTGGCTCCAGAATATGCTCAAAGCGGGCAAATCACGGAAAAAGCAGATGTGTACTCCTTCGGGGTTGTTCTGGTAGAGCTCGTCTCTGGTCGCAAAGCTGTGGATATTACCAGGCCAAAGGGCCAGCAATGTCTCACTGAATGGGTAATATATCATCAGTATTTTCCGACAGAATTCATTCATCTCTCCAGATGGATTGATAACATTCGATCTGTCTCTCCTTTTTCCGTATATACAGGCACGGCCTCTACTAGAAGAGTATGCAATAGACGAGCTCGTGGATCCGAGGCTCGGGAATCACTTCTCAGAGAGCGAGGTCATTTGCATGCTTCACGCAGCATCGTTGTGCATACGTAAAGATCCCCATTTACGCCCCCGCATGTCTCAGGTCAACTAATAAGAAACTCTTTCTTACAAACCAAAAAAAAAAAACCATCTAACTTGAAACGATCTCTTCACTGTATTATTATAACAAGCTACTGAGGTTGTCTGTATCTATCCGTTTCTTCAAAGGTTCTGCGCATATTGGAAGGCGACATGATAATGGAAGGGAATTACGCGTCGTCAACTCCAGGGTCTGAAGCTGGAAATCGGAGCGGGAGGTTTTGTGTGGATCAGCAACACTATAGTGGTCCTCTTAAAAGTGATGTTGCAGACAGGTTTAGTGAGAAACTGTGTCTTGAAACATCATGGGAATGTCTCAGGGAAAGGGACAGAAGCTGGAGCTTGATCCCGAACAAAAGTAATCAGAGAACACAGCAGATGTAAAAGATATATATACATATGTGTGTATCGCCCTGGAGGAAATTTTTTGGTTTTTTTTTTGTATAGTGGGTGAAAAAGATGGATGCTGTTATCCAGAAATTTGGATTTTCTTGCGGGATTGGAAATTGGGGCAAGTGAAAGTGAAAGGATAACCTAGCCATTTGTTTTCTATCGAGAATATATATATGCATATATATATATAAACAGTAATTATAATAATAATATAAACAGTAATTAATAGGTTCATTGCCATCTAAAATTTCACAATGGTCAGAATGTTCCACGAGAGATTGGTTATGAAAATACTTTGAATCATCGGATGGTAAAGCATTACAAGGCTTTGTCTTACTCTCATAACATGGCAGATGCTGTAACAGAATGGTTGTGAAGCCTCTGCGCCCGCGGAGGAAGAGAGGGAGAGACGTATTTGCATATCATCATACATATGGGTCACGTGGGATCGTATCTGTACCACCACTGGTTCCAAATGAAATGAAATGGCGTGGACTTACGATTACACGACATCTTAAGAGGAGCCTATGGTCTGACCAAAAAATACTGGATCTTCCATTTTCAGCGATGCAATGTGACCCTTCTGTTTCCCTCGTTCTAGTGTTTTCTCATCTTGGATCTTGCATATCTGAAGCAACAAAGACCATCAAATTGATGTGATGGATGGATTGCGGTTTAGGCAATGACAAAGGGCCGTAAGACGGAAAAAAAAAGTGTAATTCGAAGGAAGGGGCACTGAAATTTACTCAATATGCAAGCCACCTCGGTCTGAAGATGTCAAAAGGCTGCCCTGAAGAACATTCATGACGTAAACAGCTTGTTCGGTTTCCTGGAATGACATATCAGAGAAAATCACCAGAAAAAAAGATGGAAAGATTCCAAATAGTTAAGCTCTTGACCTTGATCATTTTGCTTCACACAGATGACAGATCTACTAACTAACATGCCCTCCATTAACAGAGAGGATACATCCGTATCCGAGATTTTTTGGGATTATATTTAGATGTTCCGTCTTCTTAACCAGGATGGATGTTCGTGATAGTTAGTTTGCGGGAGAAACAACTTATACCTCGAAATCAGCAAATGCAACCGGTATTCCACCTCTCGAACGCATTTTCATGGCATTGAATCCAGGATATCTGTAACCAAAACGATCAGGTCCATAGATCTTCCAGACGGAATAACAGATATGTACATACAAGAACCCAGCCCTGAACATAATTGCTCCATCCAATGTTTTTAATTATCGCGCCAAGGGGCATTGCATTGTATAACCAAGAAACTGAAATCTTACCTAGATAGAACTTGTTTGAGTTCATCTTCGGTACAATTAGGCCCTAGATTTGCAATGAACAAGGTAGAACATGGTTGAGCACCTCCAGCTGAATTCACATACTGCTGCTGCTCCTGATAAAAATAGTCTATCTGTTAAACTTGAAGTGATAACCATTACTTTCATGCTGGAAGAGATGAAATTTCCAACCAAGCTGACATTATAGCAGGCAACAGTTAGAACACCTTAAATTTAGCGAATGTAAAAAACGTGTATTGAAAAGGCTTGTTCCTACAACATACTGATTGATGAAGGATGTTGACATGAAAAAATGCTGATGATGGTCTGTTATAATAACTAGAAAAGAAGAAATAGCAACTTCTTGTGAGAATGGTTATGGCTTCTTCTACTTACATGAACAAATTGTGCTTTGCTATCAGTATCAGAGCCCGCCTCACTGTAGTTTATCAAGCGAATCAAACAGTTAGACCACAAGCAAAAAAACAAAAGTGATGCACAGTGACTAGTTGTCTTCTTTGCGGATCTAAGATCGGAAATCTCAAAAGAAACAGAACAAACACAGTAAGTTTAGCATCGCCCATCGACCTTTTAGCAATATCTGTTTCATTGATAGAATAATCATTGCCACCCTCATCGTTATCACTATCCCCTGAAGTGAAATGGGAACACACGGAGATGGTGAGGCATTCGTTTCAGAACACACTGTTCGAATCGAATTACAAATCAACAGCAGCAGCATACCATGATCACTCGGAGTTTCCTGAGATCTGGCAGATTTCTTGTTCCTGTTGTCGATCACAACATATGGCCCGCTTCCTGTTCACAGGATGATTTAAGCGTCAATTTTTTTTTTTTGCTTAATCATTAGCAATGGCGAAGCGGAGTCTCATACCTGGTCTGTCTTTTCTTCTGGAGTTTGATTTAGCAAGTTCAATATGCAGAGTTGATCCTGTCTGAGGGTCAAATTTCACACCCTGCAAAACACGTCCGCACATTATCACTCCAAGTCAATACGAGGCAAAGCAATTCACAAATCACAAAAAAGAATGCCAGATTTCGGCAATGGGGCAAAAATTGGAAGATGATGAGCAACCATAACTGCAATCATTAATACTAAAACGAAAAAGGGTAAACGGAAACTCACGTTTAACTCATTCAATGCGGCAATAGCGAATCGATTATTTGTAAAAGTTGCAAACGCAACAACCTGCAATCATCCCGAGATAATGAACTTCAGCTTAACATCCCGAGATAGGTTAAATATCCATTCTTCATGCGGAAAGTCTGAAATATGAACACTCAACTCGCAGTTAAACAAATGATTCTGGTTCGCGGAATCGAGTTCAATTTCCCCAGAAACTACAGATTCGTTAAATCAAACGAATTCATCCAGTTTCTCGAGAATCCGAGTATTGTCCTAGAAGCAAGCGAGATTCAAACGCAAAACCTCGTTGAGAAAAACATGAATCTTTTGAGAAGCAACCTGGTTGCCGCGGCCGGTGTACTTGAGCTGGCAAGAATCGAATCCGGGACGGCGGCGGAAGAGGTTGTGGATTTCACGCGCCTTCACGTCGTGGGGCAATCCGGAGATGAACACAGTGCTTATAGCGCCGGCCTCGTCGGATACCTGAGGAAGCGACGGCGGAGGTAGATGATGAGAGAGAGGATGCGGGTGATAGACAAAGTACGGATCGTACGGCTGGTGATACGCCATTTTCACCGGCGGCCGGCAAAAAGGAATGTGTCCTTTCCCAACTTCACCGGCCAGCTCTCTCAACTGAAAAATCAAAGTATACGTATCGTATGATTCGTAATGGGCCAACTTCAAAGCCCATATTTGTTAGAATCCGAACAGTATACATGATTGGGCTTTCCTTAGGCCCATTACGATCCACTCATCTTCCTAATCTGCAATAATGAAATCATTTATATTTGATCATAAGTTATTTCTTTTTATTTTTGAGTTGGCTGCATGCTTTCCTTCCTCCGTTCTTGGAATGTACGGTACAATTGGAGTCAAAGGGTCGATTTGGATACCGTGCACTCTATATGGAAGGGGATATAATCCTCTGCGGCTGGGTGTTGGTTAAGCAAGTGGCACCGCCCTATCAGAAGTTTGAAAGCTCAATCCCTTTATTTGTATCCACGTGTCATCTTCTACTGTTCCAAAACTCAACAATAACTAACATCATGAAATTAGAACATTCTTCTTTTTTCTTTTTATTATAAATTTTCTAATAAAAAAAAACCAAAGTGGGATGTTTTGATTGGACTTGAAGTTAAAAGAAGAAGGCAAAAAAGAAAAGAAATTTGAGTTATTGACATATGCTTGAAGGTTTTCCTTAAGCCATATATATATATATATATATGCAATATATATATATGACCTATGCATTCAACAGTTTCAGACAAATATGGCAACATTGTTCTTGGTCTTCTTCGAGACTAATTAACACAAGCTGCTATTTCTTCATTCTTTACAAATTCTAGCCATTTTACACACACATATACACAAAACACATATCTTGTAACAGTATATATATACACACACACACACACAAGAGAAGATGGAAGAAGACCAGAAGAAGTTCCTCCATGGAACACTTGAGTTCACCATCTTTGATGCAACGCCCTATTCTCCCCCATTTCCTCTCAGTGTAAGTCTTTCAAAGATTTTCGGCTGTCCCATGATGTTTATGTATAGACCAATACCTTATATGTTTATACAATGTGTGTGTGTGTGTGTGTATGTATATATTATGTATAATTTACTCAAGGTTCTCTCTCGACAGTGTATAATCACTAGGCCGAAACCGGCTTACGTAACCATCAAGTTAAACAAGAAGAGAGTGGCCAAGACAAGCTCGGAACGTGACCGTGTCTGGAACCAGACATTCCAGATCCTCTGCGCTCACCGAGCCGCCGATACAGCCATCACCATCACTCTCAAGACACGCTGCTCGGTCCTCGGGAGATTCCACGTCACCGCAGAACAGATCCTGAGCTCTGATCCGGCCATCATCCATGGATTCTTCCCGCTTGTTGCAGAGAAGGGAACAAACCCTAGCCCTAACTTGAAGCTCAAGTTTCTGATGTGGTTCATACCGGCTTATCACCAGCCAGGATGGAGCAGAGTGATTGAAGGGCAGTCGCCGTTCCGGGGGATTAAGAACGCTAGTTTCCCACAGAGATCGAACTGCAGAGTTGTGTTGTATCAGGATGCTCACCACAATACCGGTTTCGATCCTAGGGTTAGTGACGTTTCTTGGAACCCAAGAAACCTCTGGGAAGATGTTTACAGAGCAATTGAAGGTGCCAGGCACTTGGTTTACATCGCTGGATGGGCTTTGAACCCTAATCTCGTTCTGGTATGTATCTATATATACACACGCACATGTATATATATATATACGTGTATGACTCTGTATATCTAATAAATGAAGGTTCGTGACATGGAGTCAGAGATTCCACATGCGATCGGAGTCGCAATCGGAGAATTGTTGAAAAGGAAAGCCGAGGAAGGCGTGGCGGTGAGGATAATGCTGTGGAACGACGAGACGTCTCTGCCTTTGATTAAGAACAAAGGACTGATGCGTACGGACGACGAGACGGCGTTTTCGTATTTCCGGAACACAAAGGTTGTCTGCAGATTGTGTCCGAGATCTCACAACAAGCTTCCCACCGCATTCGCTCACCACCAGAAGACAATCACCGTCGATTCCCGAGTTCCTGACACGACAACGAACGAGCGAGAGATCGTGAGCTTCATTGGCGGTCTTGACCTCTATGACGGCAGGTACTATCAAATCCTACAACCAGGGTGGCACGTTAAAACCCGATAAACACAGATTCGTGGGTACCCGATAAACTGTTTTCGCAGGGACCTACGGTTCCGACCATCAGCTTTCGGGTACCAAAGTCAGCAAAACTTGAGACTGAGATAATTCGATAATATGATCCGTGGTGGCAAGGCCGAGAAAGGATACCCTAAAAATTCGAGTATCTTGATCTGTTGCGCCCACCCCTACCTGCAAATAAATACGATTAACAGTTTAATCCTAGTTTCTTTTCTCTAGGTATGACACGGAAGAGCATTCTTTGTTTCGTACACTCGGCAAAAATCATTCGAAGTTTCCGGATTTTTACCAGACAAGTGTGTCGGGAGCCAAGCTGAGCAGGGGCGGGCCAAGGGAGCCGTGGCATGACTGTCACGCGTGCGTGATGGGCGAAGCAGCTTCTGACATCCTAAGAAACTTTGAGCAACGGTGGACAAAACAATGTGACCCGTCACTTCTCGTGAACACATCGGCGATCAGAAACCTCGTGACGGACCCATCTCGGACTCGGGGCAAACAAGACGGGACATGGAACATCCAAGTGTTCAGATCGATAGATCACGTCTCTGCGACTGAGATGCCGAGAGGTCTATCCGTCGAGAAGAGTATCCACGACGCGTACATCGAGGCGATACGACGGGCTGAGAGGTTTATATACATCGAGAACCAGTATTTCATGGGAAGCTGCGATCAATGGGAGAACAAAAATGACAGGTATCATCAACATATAGTACGAAAAGAAAAACTAAGATTAGCTTTTAATTTGTGATCTGAAATGGTGATTTTCGGACAAGACAGAGTCGGGAGCGGATGCACAAACCTGATCCCGGTGGAGATAGCCCTCAAGATCGCGGCAAAGATCCGAGATCGAGAGAGATTTGCTGTATATATAGTGATGCCGATGTGGCCAGAGGGGCCACCCGATAGCGAGGCAGTGGAGGAGATTCTTCACTGGACGAGAGAAACAACCGCAATGATGTATCGGATAATAGGCGAAGCCATAAGAGAGGAGATTGGATATAACGACGAGATTCATCCTAAGGATTATCTCAACTTCTTCTGTCTGGCTAACAGAGAAGAGAAGAGAGACGGAGATTTCACGGCGAACTCGTCGCCACGTCCAAACACGCATTACTGGAACGCCCAGAGGAACCGGAGGTTCATGGTGTATGTTCACTCCAAGCTCATGATAGGTAAAGAACCTGAATTCGACCCGAAAATCATCGTATATCATATCAAAAGATGAATAATATGTAACTATTTCTTGGAAATTCATGGTATGTTCAAAGTGGACGATGCATACCTACTGATAGGATCAGCCAACATAAACCAGAGATCAATGGACGGAAGCCGAGACACCGAGATCGTGATCGGATGCTACCAACCCGAGCGCCAAATCGACGTAAACGATATCCGAGCATATCGGATTTCACTTTGGTACGAGCATACAGGTGGTCTCATCACACCTGACGAGTTATCATCATGGGAGCCAGAGAGCCCGGAATGCGTCCGGGGCTTGCGGGTAATGGGAGAACGGATGTGGGGAGTTTACAGCGGAGACGAGGTGGTGGATATGGGCGGCGCCCACTTGGTCACATACCCGATCAGTGTCACGAAGGATGGTGAGGTGGAAGATATTTCCGATGGAGTTTTTCCCGACACGAAGACACCAGTGAAAGGGAAGCGCTCGAGGATGTTGCCTCCTATCCTTACGACCTGAACGTGTATATATACAAACACAAATATGAGCAAGAAAGAATGAAAGGAAGATATGTATATGTTAATGCATATGTATATATATGAGCAATAACATCATCTTATGTTAACAGATAGAAATTCTACATCTTATGCCCTGAGCGAACATGAACATGGTTTTCAGAGAAAAACATGAAACATAACATAACAATAATATGCAAACAACACATATTTCATGCTCAGGGCAAGGCTTGATTTTCGGTTATTGGAAAGTAGAAAATCTACAAAAAATAAACCGATGCTGTGAGATTTATATAACCACCGAAAGTAGTTTAATTGCACTGTAAACAACAAACAATGAGATTAGGAAGTCATGATTAATGCATTCGCGCAATTTCTGTGAATCTATGCAAATGAGCTAAGGACAAGTTTCATCTAAAGATCCGACTGAGAATTTTCCATCCATGACCCAAAAGAAGGATTGAATAAGGCATATATAGATATGCATCAGAGGCAGGTTTGGATGGGTTTTTACCATGACGGGTCTTGTTTCATTGTTCCTCTCCGCAGATAAATGGATTCTTTTCCCTTCCATCTCTTCCACCTGCAAAAAAAGGAGAGAAACTTAAAACTTGTAAACAGAAGACAAAGAAGATTTTACAAAACTAAACAATGTTCACTAAAGAAGGCAAATTATGCAATGCTAATTGCTATGTGACTCAGTTGACTACTACAGCATTTTGCGAAAAATCCAAGAAATGTTGCATCTACTGTTGGAAGACCATCTCATCCATTCTTTCTCCAAATGCCCGTAAAGGAAAGAACAAGAGCAGCTATTTGCGTCGTCTTCTGTTCCACTAATAAAATGCAACATGGTAAGATAGAATCCATTGCCAAATCTCTGCAGCAACAAGCCTCTTGCAGAAGTTTCAGTTTTTCAGAATGCATTACCTTTATTATCCAACATGTGATAGAAACGGACTCTTATAAACTTATATAGTGTAGAAAACTTCCCTCTTTCCTAGTTTTTTTGTCGATCTTCAGAAAGTAAAGCTCCACCAGTGCTCCATCTGTCCTTGACAAAGCACACAAGCAAGCTTCTGAGGATGCTTACCCTTTCTCACCCAAGGCCCTTAGGGAACAAAAGGGAAGTACACCAAATCTTGCTTGATTCATATCAAGAGCAACCTTCATCCTAGTTAACTATTTTAAGTCTTCAGGCTGAATGAAAACTCAGCAGTCAACTTCTGACTTAAGGGTATCTAACTCCATGACCTTGAAATCTATGCAAGATTTCCCTTTTAATCAGATCGCCAGAATGAGTTCCCCCCTGAAATCCTAAGCATATATCTTTGTTCTTGTGTTTTCCAGCGGTAGCAGTAGTACCTTATCATGGACTTAACTGATGTTTTCCACCGGTAGCAGCTGCAATCACTCTCGATTCATGTCAAGAGCAACCTTCATCGTAGTTGAATGAAAACTTATAAACTACAGCAGCAGCCAACTCCAGGCTTTAGGGGTATCCAACTCCATGACCTCGGCACCTATGAAAGTTTCCCCCCTTTAATCAGATCACTTGAATGAGTTTTGAACCCTTAGCATGTGTCTTTGTCCTCATGTTTTCCACAGGTAGCAGCAGTACCTAATCATGGCCTTAACCGGTGTTTTGCAGTCCCTAATCCGATTCCATAACTTTGGCCTCTGTGCAAGCTTTCCCTTTTAAGCTGCCCACTGGCATGAGTTGCCCTACAATCCTCACCATGTCCCCTATATTCTCGTGTTTTTCCATCGATAGCAGCAGAAAATGCATGATAGTCCTTTAGGATCAATTATAAAGGAACTTGCTTTCGTGCTACACCAGAAACGAAAACATCAGATGCAATGTATCACCTCTGAAATCTGCTGCTAAGTTTATCCATCATCAGGTAAACTCATCTTCAGCTGCATCTTATTTCGATCTCATTGTATTATAATGTGCCAAGGATTAGAACAACTCCTCTCGAAAGAATCATGTCCAATCTAATCTCCATTGCTATCGCTACAAGAGATAATCCACAATCTAGAAACTTAATATGAGAAGCAGATAATCCTATGCAGACATCAACAATGAGATAAGATGGGTTATGGTAACGGAGTCCTACGAATGACACACTTAAAGTCTAAAGTGAAAATCTATAAGCACACATAAACGATAGTTAATCTTGAGAAGATATAACCATGAAGCATAAATCAATAAGAAGGTTCCATTGTCAGATTCCACCCAGACAATAAAAACTTCCTCATGTGGAAATTTATGCTGAAAAGAAAGTATACTTGCCTCCATATCCGGGAGAAAGATCTTTTCCACTAGGCATGTCAAAATCCTCAAAAAGCGCATGGCAGCCAGACTGATGTAGCGTCCACAATCATAGAGGCCATTGGCGATATCTTGATAATTGATTCAGGTAGCAAAATGTCTTTATCTGTAGGCAAATATACTCAAAGAGGATGGACCCGACGCTCTCTTTCAGTTTCCTTGCAAACAAAACGCCTTGCTATCCAGAACTTGAAACATGATTTAAATTGACCCACACGTCGGTCTTTCTAGCCACCTTATAACCCAGAGTAACACATGAAATCCTAAACCAATAAACTGAAGTTTCTTTTCATTTGGCTTACAGTTACAGCATCCATCTTCAGAATGTTGCTGCTAAGAAAGCCAAACTTTTGAACAAACTGCACTTAGAAATATAACTTCTGACAATGTCTGCAGGTATTAGGAAGGACTATAAACTACAACTAGTAAAATGGACCTACAAATAGAGGCTAGTTCTTGAACTTACCTCAATAAGTTCCTATCTTATGTGCTACACAGCAGATAAAGGATGATCACCTCTCCTGCTCAGTAAAAGAAGCGCTAAACCCTAAGATATAGACTTCTGCACCACAATGCCAACTCAGGCTGTCAAGACTACACTTGGCCAATTGCATAATGGCAAGGGTTCTAACTGCTGCCCATCCATGGAAGCATCCTCGTATTATGACCAACCACAATATTACATAACACAGAGCAGACAGAGGAAGTGGAGAAAGTTCAAAGAATTTAGCTTAGCTTCCATTGTCACCGTTCTGCCCAAACTGTTGAAATTGACTTCAGCAATGACAATTTAGATGTCTGTTTTTGCAAGCAAGCAAGCTCCACGACATATCAAAGAGACAAGGTTAAACCCCAGCATATTCCTGAACTGGACAGCCTTCCAATGATCCAACTCCTAATATATCTTCTTGTATTGCTCCCAAATCCAATTAGAACATTGTACAACTTCGTTGAACAAAAATAACCATCCATGATAATGCCATCTCATTTAGCACATGTCATCAGGCAGTTGCATCTCTAGAACTCTTCCAAAAATGTGGCCTAAGTGAAAAGACTACCGCTAAAGTCTCTCTCTAAACCAAACATTTAAAGCCTATGTCTTCTTTTAAGAATCGGGTCTTTTCTTAATCAGAATGAAAAGATTTAAGCAGAGGAAATAAGATGGACTAAGAATCCAACCAACATTAAACACGGAAGAAACATATGTCAGATTATTGGAATATATGACAGATTAATTGTCTAAGAGGCACAATGCCTAATCGAGAGAGCACCGGAAACCTTGCTATATAAAGTAGATGTATACCCATAAATAGCAAGATAGAGTCTTCTCATCCGCATTCACAGGTCACCTCGGGTGTAGCCTACTTAGATAGGGCATACTTCCTCTGTCCCAGATCATTCACTGATTCTTAATGACGATCAAATCGTGGCTTCTTCTGTGAACCAGAACCATGCCCATAATATGAACTCCTGTCAGATGATCCCTAGGAAACAAGACAATAATAAAACTTTTCAAATTGCAAAACTGAAGGAAAAAAGACGGACTTAAGTGCACAAGGGTATAAGCATGAATACCATAGGCCCAAAGCTTTCTCCATACGGACCATGTAGAGCCCCATCGGTACCATTGAAATTCCTCCCATATGATCCACCTGGAACCATCAAGTATAACGACCAGGCAGTCAGAAGCAATAATCATGGTGAAGCCCCCTATACAGGAAAACTGACGTGTCTCCCAGTAGATATAAAATGAACATATGAGACAGACTGAAGGTTTCTAAATGAAAGGCTTCTTCTAACCGTCAGGAAGGTGCTAGATTTCAGCAAAAGATACTCTAGTTAATGATACAAAGATTAAATAATCAGATGAAGAAAATGTCAAAAGCTTTTAAAGAAACATCTCAGATCATACCAAAGCCCCAAGGCCTACTAGAAATGGTGGTAAGTTCTGCTCGTAGCTTCTCAACTTCACGTGCCATAGAAACCATGTTCTTCTCCATTGTTAGTCGCTGATCCATCAGCTCAAGCTTTTCCTTCTTCTCATACTCAATTGCAGCTCTATTACAAAAAAAAAAGGAAAAGAAGATCAGATTAAGATTTATGACAGTCTCCAATCTCTTTGCCGACTAAGACAAATCGTTTCCAAACCAAAGCATCAATCAAGAAAACTAATGGATTGATAGATGACGGGTAAGCACAGATTTGGGCTAATTACCTAGCATGCATAAGATCCTGCTGCAGGCTCTTGACATCAGCTCTCAGAACCGGAATCTGCTTGTTCTCCTCTTGCAGTTTGATTAGATCTTTCCTAAGTGCCTGAACCTCCCTGGTAAGATCAAGTTTTAAGTCATTTAGTTTCTGTACTTCACTGTGCAACTGTGTAGCCTCCTTCTTGTAAGACTCCATGGCACGAACATCTGCTTCAAGTTTATGCCTTTCCTCGATGAACTCCCTCACCCGTAAATCTTGCTCAACACGAACATCAGATATAACTAGATTCATCCGGTGAAGTTCATCTTTAGCAGCATCAAGCTTTCGCTCAAGAACCACTCGGTCATCAGCTAGTGTATGATTATCACTCAAAAGCCTTCTGATTTCAGCATGCTGTATCTCAAGATCCTCTAACAAAGACGAGGGTGGAGGCAGTGGCTCTAACAACCCGCCTCTGACAAAAGGTCTGTCTGGTGGCAACCCACGTCTATCATGATAACTGTCACGATGGATCCGATTTCTTCCAGACATACCAAATCACCTTCTGAAGAATAACAGACCTTAAGACATCAATAAAAAAACAAGGATTTCCTTTGCAATGGACTAGAACAAATCAACAAAAAAAAACATTAGCTAAAGCCACAATTCCAATGCTCAACAACATCAACATTGCCTTAATCCCAAGTTTATTTGGGGAATCCCAATGCTTAACATGGACTAAAAAACAAATCCGTATGGCAATGAATCTTTTTAACCTCTAACAGCTGACAAGAGGACCCACGAACAGAACCAATAAATAACCAAAACCCTAAGAAATTCAAGAAGCAGAGCTTCAGTAAACAGCAAACCAAAAACTTTCTAATCTGCCCATATAAAACTGTTGCTGCGATAATAAGAGAACCATACTAAAACCACAATTTCAGTCAATGTACAAGTTTTGAGAGTATAAAGTTACAAACTATTCCCTCAGAAAATTGGGTAAATCCGTTCTCCAGGGTCGTACCCTTTGTAAAGGAGAATATAAAGATGGAACCAAAGTAAGCCAAAGCTAACCCAAAACCTCGATCATCCAACTGTGTTCATCGCAGCTCAGCAGATCGAAAATTCAACTCTCGCGGCAAGGAAGCAGAAAACTACTCACAAATAAAGTGACCCTTCTGTTTGCCCTATTGATGAAAATTAGGGCGTAAAAGATTCAAGAAGGAAAATTGAAGGGAAAAAAGAAAAGGAAATCGCGAAAACCTTACGGCCGCAGATTTGGGTTCCACCTCGTTAATTTCAGATTTTCCTGAATTTTGATGCGAGGAAGAGAACGAGGAGTAGGATTCGTCATCTTCAAAGCGACGTCGTATCACAGATATTCTTGAATCAATACCGACAACAGTACATCCATTTTGGGCTTAATATGGGCCCTTGAACTTCTAAATGGGCCTTAAGAAAAGAGAATTTGACAATTTCTTACGGGCCGTTAGTACTTCATTTAACATGAAGCATATATATATATATATAAAAACACAGTTTTCTACTTTAAAGCTGATACATATAAAAACGGTCTTATAAGTTATAACCTTATTTTGTTTGGGATATGATAATGAATTGGACTTTATTAATACGGATAATCTAAAACATTTAAGTGTGCACTGCACACAATGTAAGAAACGGATATGACATTACATTTTAAATTTATCCCCCCAATATCATACGACCGAAGCCGCTAAGGAAAATAAATTTTACGACAGAGAGAAACATTTTTGACATTTTGTCCGAAATGCTAATTTGCTCGTCTTACATGATCAAAGACCAAGGAAAGAACATCTACAAGCCAAAAGGTATCAGACACATGGGATCACCAATCAGCTCCAACCTCGTCCGCTGCCGTATCTACTCCCACGATCTCGGAACCCTCCTGTTCCATCATCACTCACATATAAATTAAGTATTAAGCATTAACATCTACAACGGATCATAAATATATCGAATATGTTTTTTTTCCTCTTCAAATGGTTCCACATAATAAAATCTGGAACAGATCCTGTAACCAAAGCTTGTATCTATTCGACTCACATATCACCAAATTATTTGTGCGCATTAGTTTCGGTTTAGGATGGCCAATTCGGTTAATAACAGTATAATCAGATAGATCTAACTGATTAACACAACCATAACCAAATCGAATCCGATGCAAAAATAATTTGGATTTCTCAAAAATCGAAAAAAACGGATCTGATCCGAATACAAAAACTGAAAATTTCTTTCAGAAAAGGGGTCTTTTAAAAAAAAAAGACGAACTCTAATAGAAAGCAAACCGAATTCAATATAAAAAAAATGAATGGTTATAGTTTTTCTAAAACCGAAATATCAGTACCCAAACATAACCAAACCGAAACCGAAATGAACACCCTTAGTTTCGGTGAAGTGAGCTAAGGCATGGATGATAAACTAACCTGGAGGAGGAGGAGGGGCTCCACGGCCCATGGCGGCCAACTCAGGGCTGACCCTCTGTCCAGCTTCTTCGAGAATGCTAATAAGTTCTTTAGCAAATCTTGCGTTTGCAGCCGTGAAGAAAGTGTAGGCTGTTCCTTTGGCTCCTGCCCTACCAGTCCGTCCAATCCGATGAACATAATCCTCCAGGGATCCCGGAAAGTCGTAGTTTATCACGTACTTCACATCTTTCACATCTGTTCCCATAGATTTTATTACAAAACAAAAGCATCGGATATAAAGAGTGTGTCGATACAATTGTTAGACCGTTGGAAACCATTACCTAACCCGCGAGCTGCAACATCCGTGGCAGTCATTATAGGACTTTTCCCCGATCTGAACTCTGACAGAACCCAATCCCTCTCGGCTTGACTTTTATCTCCATGAATTGACAGAGCAGGCCACCCATCCATCCGGAGCTGCCGAGTTATCTGATCACAACCCTTTTTTGTATCAAGAAAGATGAGTATTCTGCTTCCATCCATTATGTCTTCGAGCAATTTCACCAACCTGAAATTCCAGAACAGATCAATCGCCCATGACACGGCTGAAATGAGAAAAGAAAAGAGAGCATGAATGGCAAGGGGTGCGTACTTGTTATATTTTTGGTTTTCGGAAACAACATCAACAAGTTGTCGGATTGCACGATTAGCTTTTAAATCAGAAGATCCTATAAGCACCTTCAAAAAAATCCCAGGAAGGCTCTTGAGTTTCTTCGAAACATGACAAGGATCCTAAGCATAAACAAACACATAAAGAGGTCTCTTACTTTATATGGATTATAAAGAAATTTCTTAGCCAATTGCTCCACCTCCTTAGGCCAAGTAGCACTCCAGTACAAAGTCTGACGGTCTGGCCGAATCTGAAAAGGTGTTTAGGAACATCAGAACAAACAGAATCTCAAATAGTAATGCTTGACTAATGCGGGCAATTTACTACTATTAGCAATTTTCCATGCATCACTTAGTACTAAAGTCAAATCCGTCATGATTAACAAAGCAAAACAAAAGCATTCATTCTTTAACTAGAGAAGTAACAATGCCAGTTCTGCCACCTAACCTAACCATTTGACAAGGTATCTTTTCGGACATAGGAAGGTAATGATCTCCAGCAATATGCTTTATGGAGGAGAAGAAACAACCTGTGAAACGATTTTCCGTATCTGAGGCTCAAATCCCATATCTAGCATCCTATCGGCCTCATCCAAAACAAGGTAAGTAACCCTCCGTAAGTTAGTGTGGTTTGACTCCAACATGTCTATTAACCTCCCAGGAGTAGCTATAACGATTTCAACACCTAATCCACAAACCAACAGTCATAATCAGCGAACATAAACATCTACAAACAAACAACCACTGCGTGGAATGATGAAAAACAAAGTAATGAACTTAATCAACTCACCTTTCTGGAGATCACGAACTTGAGGTCCTTTTGGAACTCCGCCATAGATGCAAGTGCTCTTAATCTTCGATGATGAACCAAATTTAGATGCCTCTTGTTGGATTTGCACTGCAAGTTCACGGGTAGGAGCAAGAACTAAGACGATTGGGCCATCCCCTAGAGCTGAAAATAAAAATCCAACCAAATCAATTCCACCAGTCAATACAACAGCATTCCTGTGCTGGAAAACATTGAACCATATCACATGAGTCCCTAAGAAGCAATCAGTCGTTACCTAAAATTGGTTGGGCATTGACATGGACTATTGCTGGTAGTAAATATGAAATAGTCTTTCCAGATCCAGTTTCAGCAATGCCAATTAGGTCACGCCCTTTCAACGCCATTGGCCACCCCTGAGATTGTATAGGTGTAGGTTCAGAAAAACCGGCCTTCACTATCTCTTCCATGACATAGTCTGACTCAGCCCAATCAGGAATTTCTCATCAGTAGATGCTTAACAGAGGGACAGCTATACTCCTAAGACTTGTAAGTGAAAAAAAAAATACCAACTTTTATCCTAGATTCCTACATCACTCCAAAAATATACAATCTCAGGGTAAAAATGACGTGAGCTACCTTCCTACCCTGTTCAATCTAACAGCGTGAAGAATAAGGAGATCAATCATGTTACGCAATTATATGAGGACACCTACACAGATGAAGACCAGTTGACTTAGCTTCTCCATATATCACATAACCAAACCTAGAACGACAAGGACACTTCTGATCCACTATCTCCAACCTCATGAATGAAAAACAAACCCAACGTTCCAAAAACCTGAAGAAATAAGATACGATTTGTTTCAACTAACCAGGAAACCCAACATCATGAAAAGTTTTTACAGGCTTTGGAATATCTCGGCTCATGAATGAAAAACAAACCCAACGTTCCAAAAACCTGAAGAAATAAGATACGATTTGTTTCAACTAACCAGGAAACCCAACATCATGAAAAGTTTTTACAGGCTTTGGAATATCTCGGCCTTCAACGGTGTTTCCCCCCCCCTGCCGATATTCTTCCACTTCTGCCTCAGTCATGGCTGCCACCGCAGGGGACTCGACATAGAAGTTCTTCTCAAAGGGAGTCAACCCGGCCAAATCTTGCTTCCGTGGTGATCCAGGATCATCATAATCTCTTCTGCTTGATCCATGAGCTGCCGAGCTGCCATATGCTGAAGCCCCACCAAACCCTGAGTCACTAAGAAAAACAAGGTTTGGAAATGAAACACCAGGACCCAAATAACAAGGCCGCTTCAGCCGATTTCCTAAAATTTTGAGGAAATTCATGAACTTGGTTAAAGAAGAAACCAATCAAAGCAATATGAACAGGGTTAGAAACCTATACAATCTGATTCCTTCAAGAACAGACCAAACGACTTAATAATATTAACCGGCACAACTCGTTTCGTTATACACTACCAGCTATAGACACAGATGCCAGAACAAACTAATTATAGCTCAAATGTAGTGGAACACTAAACCCTAGCAGCTCAATTTAAGCAAAACAAACAAATATTCTACTAATTCGCAAAGATGTACATATACGCATGTCTACGTACCTTCGACGGTCCCGATAGGAAGCGGGATCGCCGGTGCGACTGTCGTAGCGACTCATACTGTTCGTGAAGTCAGTTGCGATGGCGAAAAATGTGATCGGAGAGTTGAAGCAGCGACAAAGTACAGAGAACCAAAATTTTGTCGTTAGGGTTTTGCAAAATTGGGGGTTGAGGAAGACGACGACGACAACTCTTTTAATGCTAAAGCTACAGCCTCAATTTAACATTCCAGACAGACAAATCATAATATGCCACGTCAACCACGGCTGTAAGAATTTTGCATCCAGAAATTTCTATTTATCCATTTACATATTAAATTTGAGTGTGTCAAATTTAATTCGAATAAAATTGTTTTGCTAAAAGTTTAAATTTGGAACCCAAAGGCAAAACTTTCTTTTTTTTTCACCAAAACAAAATACATAACTTTTTATGTTTATTTTCTTCTTGTGTCACGTGTTTTGATATCAGTTTTGACATTTAACAAAATAAAAAGGATAAAATAGAAAATATTGTTAATTTTTTATACAAAAAATCTGATAAAAACTTTTATTTTAAAATAGATAAAAATAAAACTAATTGAATTATATTTAAGATATATTTCTCCAATTGCCTGGTTAGGAACATGTAAACTTAAGGAATTAATTCATTTATGTTCATAGGTCTCTATCTTCTTTTTTTTTTTTACACACACACACATATATATATATAGTCTAATCCAGTGGATAAGCAAGATATCGAGCCAAGTCAGCATGATCTTATAATCAAATCCAAAAATTTATTTCCTTATCCTAAATAAATTTATAAAATGGAAATAAATAAGTCCTTATAACAAACACCAGATTAATGCATTAATTCGTTATTAGTGACTTTCACTTTATTCAACAGGCCCATTTTTGTTTTGAAATGGGCCCACAACTGCTCTTTAACGGCCCACTAGCGTCTAAAAGGACGTGCCATCACTATTGGACCGGATGACAATGTATTGGTATTCTTATGGAACCCATCAGAATAAAATAGAGAATTTAATTTATATAAAATTAATAATTCGCTTGAATCACCTTATAATTTTGAACTATTCTTTTAAAATATTATAAAAAATAATACCACTACTCTACAAATATAATACTATATCTATGAATATATATATATTTCGAATATTTGTTGTATTTCGATTTTCTCAGGTTCATCGAATTCCAATGAAAAAATATATTAATTATCACGAGGGAATATATCCCGATCTCATCCAATACATTTTTTACATATATTTTTTGTGTTGTAAAACATAAATAAATTAATAAATTATCGTATGCTTTTAGTTTTTGTCTATCTATGGCCCCCCGTTTTTTTTTTTTTTTTTTTTGGGTTTCTGTGGATATTATCATATTAGTATTACCCAGTTTTGTTCGTTTGTCCTTCCGACATTGATGACGTGTCATTCACTTTTGCCACATCCGTTGTGGGTCCCATGTAGATTGCTGACTTGTCATCCTTGTCCGCCTTTCGTGCGTTGCCAAACCATATCGATTAGCACGATTCGGATGAGGTTCAAATTTATTTATTTTTTTTATCCAATTTTTTTTTTTGGGTATGAATATCCAAATTTATTATTACATATGTTAAAAGAAAAAAGAGGTATTTTGTTTCCCGTTCATTTTCGGATAGTGGTTCTTTTTGTTTTATCTAAATTTTTGGTGTAAAAATGATATCTATCTTTATATCCGAATCAAATATCATCTAAAAATCTAAAAGCATTCATACGAAACTAATCTAGAATCCAAAATATCTACAACAAATTTTTTTTATAATTATATAATAAATGGTAAGGCTTTATGCATTTTACTTCTTTGTAAATAGCTCGACTGTAGCGCGCATACGGAATATAATATATGCATCATATGCGCGCACATACACACACATGTGTGTGTATATATATATATATATTGTAAGATAAGAACGTCGAGAGAACAGAAAAAATGTAGCCACCCAAATCAAATGTTAAGAAAAACAAATATAATATATATTATTGCAATATTCATGCTCCCATTGGGCCAAATATTACCAAAAAAAATATATTCATGCAAGGGAAGGGAAAACAAAATAGATCATAACTTGCCATGCAAACAAAATCTAAGACGGTTAAAATTTAAGGTTTAAGTTCTAATATATTTTGTGTCGAGGTGTTTGGATTATATAATAAAATATTATATTAGATAATGATAGTAAAAACTAAAAAGATCCCACGGTCAGTCATGGATTTCCAAATTTCTAAACCTTTTGATTTTTTTTTTTGTTGAATATTCAAATTTTTTTAATATATTTACATATAAAATATCTAAAGTGTCAAATTCATAACTTTTAAGAATTCGAAGAAAGTTCTTTCATGAATTATGATATTACACAGTTATTATTCCCCCCCCCCTTTTATATGCTCTGTTCACATTTGAAGTTAGTGGAGTACATCTCATTTTATACAGATTATATATATATATATATTCAATTTTTCTCTCTCTATATATATATTCAATTTTCTACATTTCTTACAGTTATATTTTAAATTAAAATATACTTAATTTTCATATTTTTTAATTTTTGATATTCCATTCAAATTCCACCTATCTATTTATACATATATTATTTAATTATTTAAATTCTAAAAAACATGTATGAACATAGTTTCATATAAAATTTGTACATTGTTATCCAAATTAGGTTTAAAAATCTTGAATATACATAATTTCTGAAAAAAAATATTTTTTCACAAATTTCTAAAAATGTAAAAGAAGAGCTTTCTGAAAATACGAAAGAACTTATAAAACAAGGGAAAAAGCCAATATAAAATAAAAAGTTCCCGTGGCCTTGCACTTTTTTTTTTGTAACAGAAAAATTAGATTAGGTAAAAAAAATTATGCAAAGAGGTGAAAAAAAGTTTTACACATTGAACTCGAGAGCGTAAATATGATACAGTATACACCCACTAAAAATACATAAATATGTTGCAGTACAATACAATGTAGAATATACGGAGACAATACCAAAAAGGTATAGTGGGTCCCATTTCTAGCCTCTCCATCCATTTTATGTGCTTATAAAGCAGCTGCAACGCTTCTTCATTTTAGCACCCACAGAGAATTTCCTCTCAGATTCTCCCACTTTCCTTTCCTTTGCCATTTTCTCAGGAAAAAGAGAGAGAGAGAGGGGACAGGCTTGAGCAAGAAAGCAACCAGCTTTCTCCTCCGCCGTATCTTCTTTTTCCTCTGCTCGAATGAGCAAGAGGAACAGGATAGAGTTAACCCCAACAAGTAAAAAAAAAATTGAAGTAAAAGTGACAATTAAGAACACTAAAAGGAAAAGTGGAAGCCTTTTGCTTTGCCTTTAATTCCTCCGGTATGGGTTTGAAGCTCAACGAAACGAAGAATGTGGCTGCGGCGGCGGCTGCAGGAGCTCTGTTTTTTCTAGGGTTTCTGGTGTCCTCTGTTTCTGGGTCTGTCTCCTACGACAGCAGGGCAATTACTATCAATGGCCAGAGAAGAATCCTGATCTCTGGATCCATTCACTATCCCAGAAGTACTCCTGAGGTTGGTGTGCATATGCATGTCTATTTCACTTTATTTTCCGTTTTTTTGTTTGTTTTATATCCTTTTGGGTGAAATGCAGCTTCATTGATTGTTGTAGTTTTCAGAAAGTTTGATACTTTATAGTTTCTCTGGGGTTTTCCCTCATCCGGTGCCTCTTTTACTCCGTTTCGTGTCCAATTTGATCAAATGTGTTTTTGGGTATCTTGGCAATCTAGGGATTTTGTCTTTTTACTCATTGGTTTGTGTTTTTGTAGATGTGGCCAGATCTAATTCAGAAGGCAAAAGAAGGAGGCTTGGATGTGATTCAGACATATGTTTTCTGGAATGGGCATGAGCCCGCTCCTGGAAAAGTAAAGAAAAAAGACCTCAACTTGAATTCCTCATCAATATGGATTTTTTTGTGTGTGTGTAAAGAAATGCTGATTTATCTGGTTCATATGTCTTCTTGTGCTCTATCTGTAGTATTATTTTGAAGGCAACTATGATCTGGTAAGGTTTATCAAGCTGGTCAAACAAGCCGGACTCTACCTTCATCTCAGGATTGGCCCTTACGTTTGCGCTGAATGGAACTTTGGGTAATGATCCAATCTGCTTTGCAATCGTTCTGAAGCTAAACGTAGTAAAAAAATGGCAATTTGATTATTATTTTTTGTCTTTCACGTATCATAAAAAAATCGTCTGCTTCAGTGGCTTTCCTGTTTGGCTCAAGTACATTCCAGGCATCAGCTTCAGGACAGACAACGGCCCTTTCAAGGTTAGGCATGTTTTTCTCTTAATTATGTCTTTCTTCAATTAGGAGTTTTCTTTAAAATATCAAATTTTTACTGCTTTGGTTGACCCTTGTTTGCCTTCTGAGAAAAATACTGGAATATGAATTCTTGATTTGTGCTCCTCAAGGCCCAAATGCAAAGATTCACCACAAAGATTGTGAACATGATGAAATCTGAAGGGCTTTTCGAATCTCAAGGTGGTCCGATAATTCTCTCTCAGGTAAGAAAAACCCAAGTCCTTGTCTAAGGAAAACATCAACTTCTTTATAGCCTGCGAGAGTGATTGAACTAAGAAATGTTTCTTGATTTTGTCTCTTGATTCAAATGTTATGTAACAGATTGAAAACGAATACGGACCAATGGAGTACGAGCTCGGTGAACCAGGACGAGCTTACACCAACTGGGCAGCTAAGATGGCTGTGGGGCTCGGCACCGGTGTCCCGTGGGTCATGTGCAAGCAAGACGATGCCCCCGACCCTATTGTATGTTCTTCTGTCTTTTTCTTATGTGACATTTTCTTGTTGGCCCTCGTGTTTTTGTTTCCTCACTGTTCTTGTGTCAACGTGCTTAGTCATGTTCTTGATGAATTATTATATATTATTATTATGATTCCCATTGCACATGCTTCAGATTCACTCTCGCTGAGGATATTTAGCGTGATTATCTTTTTTTCCCATTAATGATATGCAATTATACAGAAAATATGTAATTCTTTATTGTCACAACAACTTCATCTTCATGTGTCTGATGTATCAAGAACAGTGTTTTCTTCAACCTTGTCAGCGAGAACACGTGACCATTGACCATGCATATGCTGTTTGGTCAGATGTTTTTTTTAATCTCTTTGACTATCTTTTTAACTTCTTGTCTTGGTTTGTTTCTGTTAGATCAACACCTGCAATGGCTTCTACTGTGATTACTTCTCCCCGAACAAAGCGTACAAGCCCAAGATGTGGACCGAAGCCTGGACTGGATGGTAAGCAAAGTTCAAAATTTTCATATACCCTTACCTCTTTTCCTTGTAACGCTTCATTGTATTGATGTATATATATGTATATATCCAGGTTTACAAAGTTTGGAGGTCCTGTTCCTTATCGTCCTGCTATATTTGATCATAAGTTAT